AAAAAAAAAAAAACACATCTTAGTAAAACCAATACCTTCTCAGCTTCGCATCGAAGAAAAAAAAAATCTAAGATAGCTATTTTGTAGAGTAGAATTTAAGAAAAATTTTAGTAAAAAAATATCTTATTAATATTCGGTAGTAAATATTCTGTAGCGTTTTGAAGTTTGTAAAAATTTGAATTTTCATGTATTATTTTACGGTAATAAACATTGAAATATGTATTGAGAAAAGGACAGAAGAAAACGCGATCTTCGCATCGAAGCTAAAAAAATAAGTATACTTCTATGATATCTTCTTGATATATTATTTTTATATAACATACTTCTACCAAAACTAATATACTAAATTAGATAGGCGTCCTTAAATTTGTTTAGATGATTTTAAATAACATGCCAATTTTATGTTATAGTTAAAGGTTAATTCATAATATAAAAACCCAGCACAGGGGGGTCGCGGCACAGTGGTGACGTGGTATAGATGGATCAAGTATAATGATATCTGACAGTGATTAAAATCACTATTAAAAAAAAACGCTTCGATGCAAATCTTTAGATACTGTTTAATTTTAAAAAATTGGTGGACTATTCCAAAAGCTACATGATCTGCTAGTTCATTATTAATATCCTAATTAAGATAAAGTATGTAGAATGAAAAAGGGATTATTAAAAAATATTATTTCTCATAAAAAAATAATGTTGATCCATACACTTTTCAATATGTCATAGCATTATAAAGTTAAAAATGTAAAAAATAAAATCGAGAATTTTAAAAAAGTAAAAAAAGTTTTAAAAATTTCGAAAATTAGCGATTTTTAAATTTGTAATTTTTTTAGAGGTTTCCCCCATTTACGGGGAACGAGGGCATTTTTTTTCAATTTTTGAGGGTAATTTCTTCGACTAGATACAATTTGTGATCTTTTGACGTATCATTGAATGAAATCGGTGAGAACTGAGAAAAAGTGGTAACAGACACAAAAAAAAAAAAAAAAAAAAAAAAAATAAACACATCTTAGTAAAACCAATACCTTCTCAGCTTCGCATCGAAGCTAAAATCACAGTTTTAATCAAAATGTATTTTGATCTAAAAAAAAAAAAATGTATTGAATATTATTTTATTTATTACAGAAATTAAAAATGGAGGTGATCGAACATATACAAGATCAAAACACAAATGTAAGTAAAATGTATTAATTTATAAACACTTTATCTATACAAAAGTAGTTTATTAGGATACTTCCTACAACTTTAATGATAAATAATGATTTTTTTTTAGTAAAATGCTATGAATGTAGTTAAACATAGAAGTATTTTTTTTTAATGGGTCTACAAATGTTTGAAAAATTTGTATTACTAAAACCGTTGTTTCTATAACGAAAATACGTTTTTGATATATCGAAATTATTTAGGAGGAAATACACTATTATTGTATAACTAACAGAGATATAAGATTTTTTAAATTATATTATCTCAAGATTTCATAGAAATTATTTATTCCAAAAAATCATAAAATGTGTATCACATTTTAAGTATGTATTTTTTTTTTTTAATCTTAAATTGTTGAGATACGTGTTTTTTTAATAGAGACAACCCTCTAAAATAATTCACATAAAAATAAAGAAATTTTAGGAAGATAAAATAACACAAAATTATGCTACAAATAATGTATATATATATATTATCCTTTTTTATTATCCTATGAATATGATATTTTTGCAAACATTGATGCACTTGTGTTAACTAATCATAACTCGTTAAGCTAATAAGATATTGTCAAATTAACTTTTAACTTAATTTATATAAAAATTAACAAATTAGCTAGAAATATTAAATTTTTTATTTTCTTTAATGAATTTAGTTTTAACGAGTTAAAAAAAAAATTGATTTGTCTAGTCATGTAAATAAAAATGGTATTCTTATATTTTATGATATAAAAAATCCCGATTTGTTTTTCACATATGTCGGTTGGTTTCATACATAACGAAGAATGTTTGAAAACTACCGAAATTTTCATTGATCTAAGACCCTTAAGAATGATATTCATATGTCATGTTCTTTCTTAATATTTTTTTTTGGTAAATTTAAAATATGATAGAATCGCGCAGAGTAAGCGATAAATAAATTATAAATGTCGAAAAAGCATCAGTAGATGATATTGATGACTTCTATTGTTTTCTCTGTACACGTCCAAATAAAGCGATTTAGTGTAGAAAATGACTTGGCCATACAACCACTACCACTATCATTGAATAAAACATTTCTAACATCAGTTTCCAATGTGATCTAATGGGCTACTCACATTTCTAAAGGACGCGAACGAGGTATCTTAAAAAAGAGGTATAATATTTTATTGACTATCAGTTATGTAACCTGCCAAAGTAAATAAAACCTGTACTGGAAAGTTATTTGGTTTTGTTGGTTTTAAATCATAAATATTGAACTATTTTTATACTATACTACACAACGAATGATGTAGAAAATATGTTTGATTCTGTTAAATAATAAAAACTTTCTAAGGGTGCTGCTCTAATGAATTGTATTTGATAACTTATAATTAATGTTAAAAGTTTTTAATATTGTTCTTCAAAATACTTTAATAGTGTGATTTTAATTTACTAAGCATTTTATAGATTGCCAATTTTAAAAAAATATTTTTTTTTAATCAAAACTACTTTTGGGAAATGAATATTGTGTAATCATAATTAATTTTTTTTTTAAGAATTATAACATTTCTTATATACCCTTTGGCAAAAATAAATATTCATAACTAATATACAAAATCTGTATATTAACTATGAAATAATTTAATAATTTCAATGTAGTTCTCCACAAATTACCACTCGAAAACGATAGATATTTTTAAAGGAATATCGTTTTCCAGGTAGGTTTATTATAAAATAACAAGTACAAGAATTTTAAACAATTTTAATTTAAAGTTGCGTTTATATTTAACTTAATTATTACAATCATTGCCCAAATTAAGAAATTTAAGAATCTGCCAGAGTAAGTTTCACGTAGAAGCTTTTATCCTTATCTTTTTTGCCTATTTTATGAGCAAATAAAATTTAGCAATAATAGAATGCAGGGCGTGGCAAAGAGAAATATAGGGACGGCAGAATGACGATAAATAATAATTTGAATGCAAACATAGTCGACAACTGTCTGACCTAAAATGATATGGTACGTGTGTACCGAATTGAACGACTTGAGTCAAACTATTATTACTGGCGGTGTGTACACTAGACAGAACGGTAAAATTAAAAAAATGAAGTTTATAAGAAAAAAAATCATAATTTATTACGTTTGACTATCCTATTCTTTAATATACTGACTGAAATAATAACACAAATGGAAAATAACGCTGTGTATCGTCATTGTCAAAAGTGTGCATGGTGTTCCTACACTGTGAGCCTACACCTGCTAAATGCATAAGTTTGTTTGTGTATAATTCGTATCCAACAACGTCGTATTTGACTATTTTCTGTAGTATTTCAACGATTACAAACGACATATTATTATTGCGTTTAGGTATTGTCACAAAAATATCCATAATTCGATTGCAAATACTTTTTTGAATATTTATATTATCTATACGAAAACACAAATAACAATTTTTAATTTGGATTTCATTGAGTAACGCACTACAAAGAGTTATTGGGTATTTTACGACAATGTAATTTAAAAGTGTTAGTAAAATGTATTTATCAAGTATACAAAATTGTTTTATCAACAGAGGATTTTATTTTTATATTGAATTTGATCAGTTAAGAATGCTTGAAATATAAAGTTTAATTGACAATTATGAACGAAAGAATAACTGTCTTTAATAAAATAAAAACGAAGTATTTCACATAAAAATGTTTCAGAGTACTACACAGTGTCAAAATGTCAACCACCAATTATATGATTCGAATTGTCGAGTTGTCTATTACTGTAGTGATATAACATAAAGATAATTAAATTTTATTACACCTTATATACTTATCTGAAAAGCGATTTGTATCAATTTGACGATAAAAGTTTTTCTTGTCATTAAACAAATTTCGGATACTAAACGTCTAATATTATAACAGTTATGCAAAAAAACGTTGGTATTAGCGAGGATGTAAGATACTGGTTTAATTGGGGTGGGTGAAGTGGATAGAAGCGTCTGGTGTGTTATGCGATAAAAGAATTACAATGAAGCTGAAAGGTAAGTTTTATAAAAGTGTAGTGTAACCAGATATGATGTATGTTTCAGAGTGTTGGGCAGTTGACATGAAGGTAGAGCAGAGAATGAGTATAGTAGAGATGAGAATGCATAGATGGATGAATGGAGTGACTAGAGAAAATAGGATAAGAAACAAACATATAAGAGGGACTATAGGTACGCTACACCTATAGTCCCTCAATCGTGGGTATGATGAAAGAAAATATACTTAGATGGTTTGGTCATATTATGAGAAAGGAATAGGAAGCTGTAAGAACAGTTATAGAAATGAATGTTGAAAGAAGTCCAAAAAAGAGATAGAGGTATGTTATTAAATGCCATATGACGGCTGATGTATGTTTAGATGCTGAACGAGATCGTGTCACGTGTAGTTTAGGATAAGGGTGGCTGGCCCTAAGTAATTGGGATAAAGACAAAGAAATATAAACAAAAGAAGAAGAAACGTATAATGTTACAAATTTGTGATACTATTTTAATATCAAACAAATTTTATTATAATGCAATATTTTATAACATTAAATTAGGTAGATATTGAATACACACTTTTTTTGTCAAAATTACTCACTATTTGATAAAAATTAGAAAAATTAATTTTACATCTAAAATTATTTTAGAGATCATATATTAAATTCTTAAATGAATTGTTTGACACGTTCATAATAATTTTTATCAGTTTTTCATGAGAGTTAATTTTTAATGATCGAATTTCGAGAAGCATGGAGAAAAAATAAAATTGAAGTAATGCATGAAATGATTTTATAATTAATTTCTATTTAAATTCAAAAATAACCATCAAAATTACTCCAAGAATAAAAATGTTTAAATTACTTGTCAAATGATTTTATAAGTACATCTTAAGTGTGAATTCAATTGCATGTCAATCCTTTTATTAATAACACATTGTTATTGACATTTGAATAAAAATCATACTTACAAATACATAATTTTTTTTTTAATTCATCCCTACGTTATAAGGATGTCAACTTTATTTTTTTTTTTTAATGACAACATACATATTTGACTAGTTTATAAAATGAAAATTTATCTAAATAAGAAAATGACTAGTCGATAACATCTTTTTGAAATAGTATTACGGAATTCATTAACATTTTTTAATATGCGTTATAATAAAAATACCTTCACTCTATATTTTAAAATAGTTAAAACTAATAATTTTCTTAATTAGATAATTTTTTTATTTTATAAACTATTTAAATACCTATGTTGCTATTATAAAAAATTAATATTAACAACCTTATAAGAAATAAAATATACTACATAATTGATGAATCAATAAATATATAATATTTTTAAAATGACAAAAAGTGTTTCTAAACAAAATTATTATTTTATGAGAAATAAAGTGGCTAATATTTAAATAATCACCCTCTATATTCAGTATTTCTTAATAATGATTATTGTTTTTTATCTCACAGATAAGAATCGAAATCGAACAAGGACACGAACGAATTCGAATGATATAAGAGATTCAGCTTTTTTATCAACAGAGGAAAGTACGTAACTACATAAATATATACATTTCATAATTATTAGATATTCATCATATGCATATATAGTATAATGTATGATTTTTTTATCATGAACGGCTTAATTAATCAAAAATAAAAATAATATAGATCATATTTCTTTTAGTTGTCTACTTTTCTTAGTTAATAAATCATTATGTATTTTTATGTACACCACTAATACCTTATAAGGATATCAAATTTATTTTTTAAATGACAAAATACATAAATAACTAGCTTTTTTATTATACATTTATTATATAATGGTAAAATTAAGAAAATGACTAATCGATAACGACTATTGGAACTGTATTTTAGAGAATATTAACCATATACAGAAATGAATAAAGTTAAGTGCTACTATTTTTATAACTAAACGTTTCTCGGCTTATTCCTCTTACCACCTAAGTATAAAAATGTTAATAAATAATGTTTCTAAATACTAAAATGTTACCATCTTAAATACTCATTTAATAATAAATCACTGAAATGTAATGCTTGAACTCATAATTATTTTTTAAAAAATAGGTATTTTGAAGTAAATTAATTTTAATATATATTTGTAATAAAATAAAACAACTGAGGATTTAGATTACTTGGGATTAATTTAATCAAATATTTTACTGTATAATTGTAATATACAATAAAAATTTATTAAAATAAAGTGCTCAAAATCCAAGATATACATATTTTTTCCCTTTTAATACAACCTAATGAAAATGTTCAATTAGAAAAATAACCTTGATCTTTATTAATAATAAAATAGTAGACAGCTTATTAACTTTAGCACAAATTTTCATTAAAATTATTTTTATTGTTTGATAAATGTTAAGAGATACATTTTAAGTAGATATTTATATATAATTTAAATTAGCATATAAAGAATGGCCCAGCATTCACGGACAACTTAAATAACTTTTGATATAGTAAATTTTTTTTGCTATTTTTTTTTTTTTAATAGTTAATATACTTAAGGGTTATAATAATAATTAAATTAATATCATTAATAATTAAATAAAAAAATTACCAAAAATGTTTAAAAAAATTTAAACATAGTCATATTTTAGAATAGAGTTTAAAAAATAATTTGGTTAAAAATAAATTCTCATTAATGTTTGGTAACTAATTTTCTGTAACATTTTAATTTTCCTGTATTTTATTCTACTGTATCAAACGCTGGCTATGTTATTTAAAAAAGGACAGAAGTAAACATTATATTTTCATTAAATATGATATGAGTATGGATTTTTCCATGAAAATTATTAACATTGCAATAACCGGCTTTAGTTAAAATAAACACACGAATAATACCTATTATTTAATAAGTAGTTTTATCTATAAAAAGATAAACCTACTTTATCTTATTTTTCTTCTGTCCACGTATCAACACGTATTTCAATGTTTAATACCGTAAAATAATACATGAAAATTCAAATTTTCACAAACTTCAAAATGATACAGAATATTTACTACTGAATATTAATAAGATATTTTTTTATCAAATTTTTCTTAAAATCTACTCTACAAATAGCTATTTTGGATTTTTTTTTACATTTTATTTAAAATTTAATTGTTATTAAAAAAAAAATCAGTAAAAAATATTAACAGGTCAAAAGTTATTTAAGTTATCAGTGAATTCTGAGCCACTCTGTATATTTAAAATTAATGTCTATGGAAGCAACCAAAATATTTTTATTTTTTTATTCTCAATATTTAATTTGCCTGAAGCAAATTTATTATTTTTTTAGTTATTATTATTTTATATTACTTTAACTCACCTGTTTTTCTTTATAATGAAATGTTAGTATTCACTTTGAGTTTTTGACAAGCTTAAATTATCATAAATTGGGAAAACATTACATTAGACTTGTGCATTATGAAAATTAATAAACATTTGCTCAGCTTAGCATTGAATATACAGTCATTGTTTGTCTGTAGATATTAATATTTCATTTGTACAGTTTTGTTGTTCTAAAATTAAGTTAAATTAATCTTTTCTTATTTCTAAGCACTCGGGATCGGGATTTTATGATGATAATTTGTTTTTTATCATCTGTATTCATTTTTTTTTTTTGAGTGTACACGAACTTTTACTTATTCTTACAATAACTAAAACGATCAGAAGTTACATCTGTATCATATCTAAAAAGATCAAAAGTAGAGAGATCCTCAACTCAACTACTTAAATGAAATGTAAACTCTTAAATGAAATTGTGCGTCATCTCTTAAATTTAAAACTACACAAACTTTTTCTTACTTTCGCTTTTTAAAAAAGATGAAATCTAATGATAAACATGCTGAAATTATGAACTGAATTGCATGCAAATCATAAAAATTACAGATATAAAAATATCATATGAATATTTTGATATAGTAATATTTATGTTATTGTTTGTATTCATTTCACTTAATGTTATGGTCAATACTGCACATTATATTATATTTATATGTGTATTGGTTCTAAAATGATCAATTTACAAAAATTAAATTTTTTTTATATCATTCAAATCACTATAAATGACAACGAATTACTAGCTTATGAATTATAGAAATATTAATATACTAATACAATAATAATATAATGATTATATATACAATCTTACTATATTTGTGTTTAATGCCTTGTGAATATATTTTTTAGAAAACGACATTACAGAGTACGAAGATGATAATGATGATTATGATAACGGTTTTCAACCAACGTCGGCATCATTATACATTTTATTAATGTGCGTTGGATTTATATTTGTATAGTTAACATATCATCTTATTTTAAATTAACTTTACAGTTTGTTTATATTTTTATAAAATAAGTGCGGTCGAAATCCTCAATATTTTGTTTGTAAAAAACTAAATACATGAATAAGATAATGAATATCTTGAAAATCTTTGTTAAAATCTTTGTAGATAATTATTATTTATTTTAATTTATTGTATCATGGGATTAGCCAAATTATTTTTGTAATTTTATCTCTGCAAGTAGGTCTATTGGTTAGGATAAATGTGTTGTTCTAGGGCATATAATTTTTAATTGTAAAAAAAGATATCCAAAAATAAATCACAAGACTGACTACTAAGTGAGCATTCATTAAGCTTGATTGCTTACCTAATCCTGTATTAATAATATGATTATAAAATTATTGTATTTAATGTATACTTAAGAACTTTAACTTGTACATATCATTTGATGCTATCCGTATTTTAAGTATGAATTGAAAATACGATTTTACTATTTAATGTATAGAATAATGTAATTTAATATGTAATAGATTTATAAAATGACTTTAAGTTATTAAACAATTTGTAACTATTGATAATTAATTAAATAGTAGAATATATTCTGTGAGCACCTCTTTTTGTTGGAAATTACATTTAATTATTTAAAAGCGTCTAATTAAGCGTTTTTAATGTAATGTAAAATTACCATAAACATTTTTTTCAAGAATATTCTCGAAAATAGATTAATGTTTAATAATTGAGAATATACTTTTCAACTTTTTTTTTCATTATACATCACATTATTATAAATTGGTACTGATTTACTAACAAGTATAAAATTGAACATTTTCAATTTTATCTATGCAGCTTTAGTTAAATTAATGTAACAAAGTTAGAAAATTTCCATGACCAAGAAAATAATCTCAAACATTTTCTTTTGTTACTCACTTTGTATATTTTTTAAATATTACAAAAACATGAATTTTCTTGAACTGGCATCTCATCGTTTTTACAAATTTAAATATCTGAATTTTAGATATAAAAGATCAGTTTTAAAGGTAGATTTCAAATTATCGCAAAAAATATTAATGACTAATATACCCATCTTATAGTTAAAAAATATGTGTCAGTCAATATTATTTTTTAAAAAAAAATCAAATCGAAAAATTTATTATTTTTAAATTTGCAAAATTTAAATATTAAATTATAATAAAAACTACATTCTTATATTTTTTATATTTACATTTGTATCAATATTTATGATAGTTTATAAAATCTGTATATTTGTAATATTTGAAAAATATATGATAAAACTAAAGCAATGTGATGTTCACAAAAATTATAAACATATCATTTTTAGTAGAGTATTATATTAAACTTTTTTCTATAATATTAATTTTATGCAATTATCTTATTCATTAATGCCCAACTCCTTTGATGAATATGAAATGGTTGATTTAGAATACTCAAACTCTATCAACAATTTCTATTAAATGTACAGAATATAATTTCTTACATTAATATAATATTTTAATATTTAAAAAAATGATAAATAAGGACCACTTTATTAGATACATTACATTAAATATGAGTAATGTGCATACATATAAATATCACGAGGAAATGTTTTCATTCGTTTATATGTTATACAGTAATAAAGTTTAGGTTGAAATTGACACAAAATGTGTTTATTGGTGTATTACACCAATAAAATTTATTTTGGAAATAATGTTATCCAAAATAATTGTTATGAATAACATTTTTAGAAAAATATTTTTTAATTAGATAATTAAATAATTCGAGTAAAAAAATCCAATAAATAAATAATATTTATTACTAAATAATAATAATAATATATATTTAATTTATATTTTAATATATGGTGTAAAAAAATTATTATTAAATACTGTGTACTTCAAAAATATTATCAATGTATAAAAAAAATAGAATATGTTATGTACACAAAAGAGTCAATTAAAATTAAAACTAAAATTAATATTTGCATATTTTTAAAATGTTGTTCGACTATAATTTCTATGATGTGTATCCCATGAAAGCATTTATAGTCAAAAATAAAAATAGCATTTGTCGTTTATTCAACTCTACTGGATAATACGAAAATTAAGTTAAAATATTGATGACACGTTTAAGATTAAAAATCAGGGCTTAAAAAAAAATATTAAATAACATTATAATATTATAATAACATTGTTCAATGGAATTTGGAAGTTTTTATTATGTTTTAGCTTCGATGCGAAGCTGAGAAGGTATTGGTTTTACTAAGATGTGTTTTTTTTTTTTTTTTTTTTTTTTTTTTTTT